TAAAGAATTTGGGTAGAAATACGGCAGGAGATTGATATTATAAAAAAACTTAAAAGAACATTTTAAAAAATGTAAATCCGGTTTGCTTCGTAAACAGATAAAAAAATATCGGGTTAAAAATCCCTCTTTTGAAATATGAGAGGACGGACTAGCGGACAGGGTGTCTCAAAACATTAAAGGTGAATTACATAATATTTTTTACATTAATCTTACAGTCCTATTCAGAAAGACCCGGAATTAAATTGCAGTTAATTAGAGGACTTTACAGTATAGTTTTACAAATATGATTGATGCAACGATAATAAAAAAGCCCTTGTCTTGCCGTTTCCAAAATGTGGTCTGCCTTTTTTGAGCATTTAAAATTGTCAGAGACGTAAATTCGTTTGATTTACTTTCAATCTAAACCGGGTGTTTCTGATTATGACTGTATTTTTTTCAGCATCTTGTAAAGTGTTTTCTGCTATATATTGCATAAAGTCGTAAACTTTTTGGGACATCTTAAAAAGTTATTTTTTTCTAGACTCCGTGTGGGGAACATAGAAAGATAAAGGATGTAAGAGGTAAACCAATAGAATTTTTTAACTTGAATCGTCTCAGATTACAAATATATTATAGAAAATATAATTTAGCTCCGGAGTATTTTTTTTTGCTGAGAATTTCTTTTTTTTTTACAGAAGTTAGAACAAGTTTGGTAAAGATCAAGTTGCAAGTTCCAAATTTTTTTTTTCTCTCTAATACTGGTCATTGGGTTTTGTAGAATCGTAATTGTGTGTACAGTATACAGTACAGTACAGTGTGTACAGTAACAAAATAAAGCAAACATCTAAATTTGAGAATTTTAATCCTATTTTGTTGCAGTTAAGGCCTCAGGAAGCTATTTTTTAATTCAAATCCTGAACTTTTGTACTGTTAATCCCTTCAGAAAACTAATCTGTATCTTTTGTATTGTTAATCTCTTCGGAAAACTAATCTGTAACTTTTATATTGTAAATCCCTACATAAAACTATTCTGTAACTTTTATATTGTTAATCCATTTCAAAAAACTAATCTGTTACTTTTATATTCTGAATCCCTTCAGAAAACTAATCTGCAACTAATGTTGTTAATCCCTTCAGACAACTAATCTGCAACTAATGTTGTTAATCCCTTCAGAAAACTAATCTGTAACTAATGTTGTTAATCCCTTCAGACAACTAATCTTTAACTTTTATATTTTTAATCCCTTTGGAAACAATCCGCAACTTTCTTGATTAGATAGCGCGGCATAAGTAGTAAGTACCCTTTAGATGACTTTTAAAGGGAGTGTTCGCGAAAAATGAAAGGGGGTATAGGCTTAGTGCGATAAAAAAGCGCTTTTGATCGCTACTAATCTTGCTTCTATCTGTTGCGTCTATAAGGAAAAAAAATGTTAAAGTCGTCCTATACCGAATAACTTAGCGGCCATACAAAGTGAGAAAATTGCAACATACTACTTGACCGTAAAAAATCAATTTAATTTCAAACAAATCATTCAGATATTACAACCTATAGTCGTCATCGATTATCTTTCGCCACATTTGTATATAGTTTATATTTTATAATATCTTTTAATTAATTTGTTTGTTTCTCTTGTCGCTTGCGCAACTATCTAAGAATGCCGCACACCACACACAATTTTCGAAACCCGTTGAAAACGTTTTCTAAAAAAGTAAAATATTATAAAATATAAACTTTATACAAATGAGGCGAAAGATAATCGATGACTATAGGTTGTAATATCTAAATGATTTGTTTGAAATTAAATTGATTTTTTACGGTCTAAGTAGTAGTTGCAATTTTCTCAATTTGTATGGCCGCTAAGTTATTCGGTATGAGACGTCTTTAACAATTTTCTCCTTATAGACGCAACAGATAGAAGTAAGATTAGTAGCGATCAAAAGCGCTTTTTTATCGCATTAAGCCTATACCCCCTTTCATTTTTCGCGAACACTCCCTTTAAGGTCCAATTGATATTGCAAAAGAACATGTCAGCTATTTCATATTTGTAAAATACAACCTTTCATGATTACTTTTCCATGTCAAATTAGGTTAAGATAGATGTATTCAAAGAGAATAGAATATATATTAGAGTGGAATTTACTAGAAAAAAGTGTAAAACGGCCATTTTGTTGTACTGTTTCCATACTGCAGGTGTACTTCACATATTTATGCTATATAACCTTTTCTATCAAAAATCTACAATTAGTAAATGCTTTGGACCAAAACATCTAAATCACCATTATTGGTGAGTATTTTTTAAGTTTTCTTTTTTTTTGTCTCCTTTTCATCCTTTCTATTTCCATTTTCTCCTTCTTATCCGTTCTTCAATTGTTTTGATAACCCAGTAAACTATATCAACAACACTCAAGAAGGAGAATCCCAGAAACAAACCTGAAAAATGATAAGTTTAAAGATTTTATTAAAATCATTAATATTTATGCAACAATGAAGAAAGGTTTAAAATGTTCAAGTGGTAACTGAAAACCAATTTTCCAATGGAATTATTGCAGTTTTTTGTTGCTGAAAATTTTTGCAATTTTTAAGTAATCGATTTATCCATACAAAATTGCCCATTCATTTTTAATGCTAATTTAGATAATTTAGATTACCAAGTGTTCCTCCAATGGATGAAATTTTGTCTCCGATCGAAACTCTTTCAATCAAATGTTCCCTGGAAATGGATAAATTAGTTGCCAGCTACTAAATTATATATTCAACCTATTCAAAAGAAAAAATGCAAGTTAATTGATTGAAAATTATCTAACACTAACTGGAATTATTTCATGGACAGAGCTAATCTTTATTGTTAATACAAGACTTTTTCTGTAATAGAACTTCAGTCCATCTCATAAATAACTATAATCTGCGATTACTGATTGTTAACTTTAAGATTATGAGAACTAATTTTTCCTAAAATAGAAGTAAAAAGGAAAAAAATACATTTTGGTCCTCAAAGGTTAAAAAATAGATTATAATTGAGATTTACTTGACAAAAAAGTTGTCCTGAAAATCCAACCAAACTGATACAAGATTTACAGCCCTCTGCTTGATGAGACAGTTAATGAGACTTTCTGCGCAAAGTCTTTTGTCTGCCATGTTATCAATATCTGATGTTAGGTTAGATCTGTAAAATATCTTGCCTCCTTCTTCTAAACACATAAAATAGATTTTAAAAAACTATTTTTTACTTTAATCTCGCATTGTCACTTCATGGTAAATTTCATTATAATCTTGCTTTAAAGTAATGATCATGCTTTAATGTTAAATTAGCTGTATATTATGACAAGGTTCCATAGTTTCATTGGTTGCGGGATTTAAAAAAAAAAAAAATTATGAATTTTTATAACATGTATTTTCCCCTCGCTCAAAAAACTTTACTAAAATAGTAGTGTTATAATCTTATCAATATTCTTAATAACTAATTGATATTAATATCTGATACTTTCAAATATGTAAGTTTTAGAATTGTAGCTGAAAACCAAAAAGTTATTGGCTCTTTGAGATTTTTTTGTAACACCAACTAGCCTTTTAACCATCCTGCACTTTACCCTATGCAGTCAAACAAAAAATAATTGAAAAGCAAAAAAACCTATAAAATTGCTTGTTCTTAAACTTCAAGAAGTTTCAAGGACAGGGTGATTCCAAAAACATGGTATACCTGTATCTGGTAACAGAACATTACACATTGCTTTTTTGACAGAAATTATTAATAATTCCGTCCCTCTGAGCAGTAAGATGTGGTTTTAATTTAGAAAATTGGAGTATTGTTTGTAATTTAAAGGAGGTAAGCAACCCCTTTACAGTACAAAATACTATTGTACAATATATATATTGGTTTTTTGTTTCATAAAGTACCTTTCAGCATGTCTGCAACATAATCAAATAGGAATTTTTTTTGGTTATGCTCAATCACCATTGCATCATCATCCCAATCCATGTTTCCAAATTCAAAAAGATTAAGAATTTGTCTATTCTCCAGAGTTGTAGGTGTCCTTGTTTCTGAGGAGGGAATATAGCTTACACCCTGACAAGTAAAACTTTACATTTATTGTGCACAAGATAACCACTTTTCATGTTAGTTGTGGCTCGTCCGATTAACTCCAGTACACTTTAAACCTTTGATTAATCAAAGATGACGACTGACGAGCTTATCCTTATGTATTCCCAGAAAATTTTAATTTAATTGTTGAACACAGAATTTTTGAAGCAAAAAGGGTAAAGAATTTAAAGGACCTTGAAACGTTTCACATCAAGATTTTTCTTTCATTTAGTGCATTTTGAAAATTTTTACAAACAAAAACTTTCTGGCAGAAAACCAGTTTGAAAAATTCTCTTTGTAAGATTTATTTGAGTTTTAGCTCTCACTACTTTATATCTTAAAAGTTTTGAATCCAGAAAACTCTAAACAGTCCAGTTTTTTAAAATCTTGCTAAAAATCTTGAAATACAACTTTGGGTTGAAAAAAACATTCCCAGTTTGAAAATTTCTCTTTTCAATGCTTTGACTTTAAACCCAACTATGAAGTATGCATGACCATGTCGTTATTTACTGTGTTATGCAGTTTACTGCTCTTTGGGAAATATTCAAACTACATGAAAACTATTGGTAGATATTTGATTAGACGTTTATGAACTTAATCAAATTTCGTTTTCTTGAACTGGATTATAGATACCTCACAGTCTGGAAAGCAATCACATGGAGGATTATTTGGATTGCTGAAGTCAAGATGTTGGTTTGCCTGTATGGTGCTCTGTTCATAGCATTTGTTCCCAAATAGGTTACAAACAGGTTCAGTTTGGTTCTTGAGGTCAAGATACCAGGGTAAACAGTTACACATCTTCCTTACTATCTCGAGTTTACATTCAAAGATACAATTTTGATTGGAGTATATTTGGAACAATTTCATTTCTCCAAGTTCATGCTTAAACCTACACTTACGCTGTGTGATACTGTATTTTTCAAGGATCTTCTCTGTTTCTGTCATTTTCACAGTGAATGGAATCCTATACTCTTTTAAATAGTCGGCTGCTGTTTGATATTTTCCATACTTCAAAGCAATTCTTTTGACTACAGGTCCTTGAAAGAGCGGAATATCATCCTTGGAATGAAGAAATACATAAAAATCATTATAGCTGTTATCAGTTAAAGTTTCTAGTGAGTTTAAGCTTAATTCAGACTCCTGAAACATGAAAGTTCAGTTAGTTGGCAGTTCATAATTTTTTTTTAAAATTACCTTGAAATTCCTGAAAGACCTCAATTCCCTGGTATTGGTAAAATATGCAAAAGAATCCAAAATCATAGTGATTCCTTTTTGAAATGGCTTTGACATTCCTTTTGGAGGATAGGTCACATTGGCGTCATGGAAAGTTGTGCATAAACCTACATCTGTGAAACGTTGTTCAACAGATTCACAGAATTTGTATCCATAGTTGGTTTCATTAGATCCAGTATTTACATTTGGTTTCTTTATCAATTGTGCAAACTTCTCTTGTTCATTTCCTGTGAAACAAAATGGCACAGTCCAGGTGCTGTTCTTAGAATATTTAGCTGGATGGGAGACATAGCGCAACAACTTTTGTATTTTCTCATCTTTTGCATGTTTTTGCATAAGTGCCATATTCTTACAGAACTGTTTGCACATGCTGGATGGGTCAATGCATGGGTCCTCAAACTCTGGTAGATTTTTAAACAGTTTCTCATACTCAACAGATACACATTGTTTCTCAGTTTTGGTTAGACTTTGCCAACTATCCTGTCGTCCCATAGAAGTTTTTTCATAAGCTAAAATTCTGTTCCCAATTACTTCACTTCCGCCTATAACATTATTTCTATAACACTATCAATCTTATTATGAAGGTATTTTACATAGATAAAGCTTACCTAGTATTACCAAAATATCAATAGCATCTATTAAACTCCAGGATAACTCCTTTTCTTCAGTAATTTCTTGTAGGATAAATCTCAAGAAATCTTGCAATTCTTTTTCTGTGTTTTCAATCAATGTTTGTGTCAGATAATTAGAAATGCTTTCATGATATAAAGCTTGTTTTGCCATGGGAACAATAAAATCTCCAAGATTCTTGAAATTCTGAAACTGTAAATTGGAAAGCATTGAGTATTCATGGTACATCTGAGACAGTGTTGGCCATGGGCTGCAACAAGTTGAGATAACATAGTTCTAAAAATATTGCTTTAGAAATATATTCTATAACATAGATTTAATCATATAATGAACTAGCTTGGAAACCTAGAGGTACCCAGGTTCTAAAAGTTACTCCAAAGTTTACCCTTACTTGAACAATTTTACTGGAAAAATAAATTTTTGCTCGTAAAGTAGACCCACTCAACTCATAATCTTAAAACCAAGCTAAGAACATTCATGTGGGTTTCCCGAGTTCCCCAATCAAAATTTGAGGCAAATCAGTCCAGGGGTTCCTGAGTTATGATTGGACCATCAAGCAAACAAACTAACAAACAAACAAACACCCAAACAGAGATTACAACTTAATATATGTATATAGATAAGATACCATAATATTTTTTGGTGAAGGTAAACTAAGGGTAGAGTTTAGTTTTCTGACATCTTCCCAAGATGGATTATCCAGAGTACTTGGTATCTCACGTTTAAATAAACAATAATCACACTCAGTTGTCTCAGTTGTCTCAGTTACTGGTTCTGGGGTTGTGACAGGAGGAGGCAGATACATTTCCTAGCAGTTAAATGATTTTTATTATGTTAATACCCTGTATAACTTAAAATTAAAGTGCAGGTTAAAATGCATGTATTAATGCAAGACCCATATTAACACAAAAAGTCCTTTTTCATGTTTAACTTTATTACGAGAATTGATCAGACTGGGAGGGTTTTCTTAAAATTTATTATAAAATCCAATTCTTAAAAAACATACTTTTAATGGGTGATCAAAAAAGATTTTAAATCTATAATAATATGATAGTAACAGCGTAAAAATGTAGAATATAGAAACCTGAAGAACTATGTCAAATGGATTCTCAGTTATACCACTTACAACCATTTCCAGTGTAAGAAGATCTAGGTAAAAGGGTAGCCAGCTATCTAGGTAACTGGGTAGTGTGCTAGCAGGCTGCTTAACAACAGACTTCAGGTCTAATTGGCAAGCAAACCCTGAACCATGGCAGCCCAAACCTTCTATTTTTTCAAAGCGGATGTTCAGTCTGTTCCTCTGATATTTAGCTAGTGTTCTGTTGGCTAAAATATCCTCACTGATCATTCTACTGGTCATTTCCAGCACATACATTGCAAAGTTGCAGACCTCTCTGCAAAAGTCATAATTCAAAATTGAATTAAAATTTGAATAAAAATCAACACACTGTAAACATTAATGATTGAGAGAAGTTGGACCAAGTTAAAAATGTTAGAAGATAATTTTTTCCTTTATATTTATTAGTGTAATGTATTATTGAGTGTTTAGTCACTTTCTGTTATTCAAATGTAATGTAAGAACTTAAAAGAACTAAAATCTGAGTTTTGTGTCACAAACCTGGGCACTAAAGACTAAAAAGTGTGACCCTAGCCAGAAGGATGTTTTTTTTGATAAACTGTATTGCAGGCCCACAGTTAGACATTTTGTTAGGGGGTAGTGAAATATTTAGCTTGAAGCGTGAATTTTTATTGCCCTCCTAAACATTTTTAGGGAGGGGGGGGGGGGCAAGAAAAATGTGTATTATACTCAACCATTAAAGAATATAACTTTACCAACCGGATATTCAGTAAGTCAACACATCTGATATGAAATAAAAAACCTATTCTGGTTATTATAAATTACAGCATTAAAATTAATTTACATATATATAAATTCATGATTCATTCATAAATCAAATATGTACATTGTACTCATTAAAAAATCATGATTTTACATGAACAATATTTTTTTGATGTAACAAATCACACATTATTTCAGTTAACATGTAGGATGTAATGAATAGTTGTTCTACAGTATTAAAGCAATATCATAATAATTTGCAAAACTGATAGTGAAAATATTCAAAATACTTAATAAGCCCCTTTTCCCAGAAATTAAAAAATCACTAAATTGCAAAACAGGGTGGACTGCTTGCCCCCCCCCTCCTACAGGGGGGGGGGCAAGCCTTTTTAAGGGAGGGGCTGTGATTCTATTTTTATTTACCATTAATAAAGTAATCGTTTTGTGATAATCGCGTTATATTTTAATATCTTGAAGCAAATTATTAGAATTAATATTGGGTTTCATTCAATGTCTATATGGTTTTAACAATTGGTACGCCCATTCAATATAATTCACAATGTTTAATTTTTTTTTGCAATCTAGTTTTCTCTACATTGGTAAAATGAATATTTTAAATTAAAATTAAAATATGAATTTTGTGCTTAATATTTAATTTATTTTTAGGTTCTGTTCATCTTTTTAGTTTTTTTAGTGTAAGACCATATACCATGCAATCTAAAAAAATGATTCAAATATTAAAAAAAATGAATATTATAATGAACCTGTTCTTTATGTAATCAGTCCAGGCGTAACATTCTTGGTAGGTACGGATAAATGGATCAAGTTCACCAGTCTTAAGTCTTAGGTCTGCAACTTTTAACCTTTCCAACAATGCAACATTTATTACATAATTGTCATTCATTCTTTCACTTTGAATTCATTAAAAAACATTCTACAAATTGTTTTATAGAAACTGTAAAACATGTATTCTTAAGAAAATAACATTCTGTAATGAAATTTGATCTGTATTTATTCAGGCTGTCATGTCACCTTAAAAGCGTATTGTAGGATTGTTTTAGCATGTCTTTGTATTCAAGCTGTCATGTCACCTTAAAAGCGTATTGTAGGATTGTTTCAGCATGTCTTTGTATTCATCCTTGAATTCCATTTCATTCAGAAATTGTCGTACTCCCGACCAAATAGTTGAACCTAGAACACAAACCAAATATTCTCTATTGACAGTTTTTTCCTTAATTACTTTTGAAGGTCATACGTTTAAAATGTGCTTAAGAACCACAACCCCCTTATATGGTACCTTTCTGATTCAGACAAATATGCAGTTTAGATGATATCGCAATTATATCTCTGGTGAGTTTCAGAGCACATAAAAGGCAGACCAAACTTTGATAATTTCAGGCCTGGGGCTACTATTTACATAATTATGGTTTCTTAGATCATATTTGTAAAATTAGGATGACAAATTAAAGCTGCAAGCCTGCAAACTGTTTCAAAGATCGTGGACTATTTTCAAGAAGTCTGACTAATTGTCAATACGTTTTGCTTCCTTGTGAATATCACTCATAGAGATTAGAATATGTAGAGATGAATTTACTGGAAAAAAGTGTAAAACGGCCATTTTGTTGTACTGTTTCCATACTGCAGGTGTACTTCACATATTTATGCTATATAACCTTTTGGGCCCTGAAATATCATTTTAATGTTAAAAGAAAACCAAATCATGAAATAGGCTGGTTTCATAATTGACCAATGATCATTTCACATAGACTCTATGCCTTTCACTTTACAAACTATGATTTTCCGTTTTAACTATAAATCAAATGATGTTTTTATTCACCTAATTCATTATAAAGTTTATTTAACAGCTCTATAAATTTCGAAATTGAAATGGATAGTCTAGGGAACATACTGTATTAATGTACTCTATTGCATATAATATGTGAACATTTACATGATTTGTACACTTTGAACTCCCTTTCAGGCTGAAAGGGACTGAAAAATTCATACCGAGAGATTCTCTAAATTCCTCTCTATATATTCTATTCTCTATGATATCACTGTAGAATCAAGTATCAAAATAAAAAATTAACCATATTTAAAAAATTTGCCTTTTATTTAAATCATCATTTACCATTTATAGCAAGTATTTACGTACAAAAAGGATGAAAAATATTGATAAAAAGGCATTCAGGCAGTACGGCGGTTAGGCATTTAGTATTAAACCCATCTTTTAGCCATTAGTAAAGTGCAGTTATGTCAAAAAATTTTTGGGGGGGAGAGGGAGGGGCAGAAGAAATAGGAATCATCCTACCTGCTGGGCAAACAGTAACACTTGGATATGGGATATTCTGTTTAGGAACATTGTCCACCATAGTATCAAAGGGTCTCTGCTCCCAGTTATCAAAACTCTGCATCAGCTGAGTTATGGTGATTACTAATAATGCGATGAATACGGCGTACCAAACACATTTTTTAAACTTTTCCTGTTTTGATGCCATTATGCTTTATTCACTGAAATGCACAAAAAGATTATTTTCAATTAAAAAATATATTAAAAGTTCAAATCCTAAAACTCATATGACCAACATCTGAATGATTGAAAGCTGATACATAACTTTTCTGTTTTTACTTTTTTGACTTTTAAAGAGGCATTTAATTTTCATAACAGTTTAATGTTGTATTGAAAGTTCAATGAATTAAACAGAAATATATGTGTTTCGCAACCAAATCTGGATACCTAAAATATCCTAAAGTTTCGAGAATGATCTGCTACAGGGTTAAAATTGGAACCAGGACAAAATCTCAAATCTCTACAGAAAGAAAACACTCAAGTTTTATCTCAGGAGCAGAATGTAGTAGAGAAATTTTTAGGGTTAAAAGGTAGAAAGTGTAGACCGAATAAAAGTAATTATCATTCCCCTAAGGAAGAATTACTCGCCATTGTATATGCACTTTCTACATTTGATCATATTCTTAGATTGAACCAGTTTCATGTTGTGACGGACTCCACTACAGCACTCCATTGGTCAACAATGAAAGTCACGGGTGGTACCATCAGGAGGAGGCTGGATTTCATTCAACAATTTGATATTACGGCAGCATATAGGTCAGGCAATAAAAACATTAACTCAGATCTAATATCTCGAGCCCATCACATGGATGACCCCCCCCCCCTCAGATGCAAACTCAATAACACAAGCTAAAAAAGATATTTACCCATTACCATGGAAAAAGGTAAATAGCAACAAACAAAATAAACCCCCCTCCAAAGCAGGTAAATCTACATGGTAACTGGTAAATAATTGCTCAAATTATTCACCCCCCCTCTTGTGAAGGTAAGATATGTACAATTATTCAACTCCCCTGTGATCTGGAAACAGCAAATGGAATTGAAGGTCACTGACTGCCAGTCATTGGTACATTAAAAGGTAAAATCGTCATTGACCAAGCTGACATGGAGAAAGTTCAAAAAGCTAAAAATTTTCAAAATCTGATTACTGAAAGTGGGACAAAATAAAGATTTAGTTTGTTGTCATTCAGACATAGTGCCTGAGGACTCAGGCAGTAAGTGTAAAAGCCTGGTTTAATACATAAAAAGAGGGGTATGAGTATTTAGACAAATTTCAAGAGCCTTAGACCAATATTTTTAAAGTTATGTAAGAAAACTACAGGGTGGGGTTGAATTGACTCTCTCCCCCCCAGCAGGAATAGAGTTAAATGAATAACTATGTTGGGTTAATTCTAAGAGCCTAAATTTTTTCAGTCCAGTTGCTTTGAATAGTTACATTTAACTAAGCATACACAAGGGTGGATACCAATTTGAATATATTGGCTTTTACTTCGACAAATATCAAAGAGGCTGTAAACCAAATTTTAATAATTCATTTTTAATTTTTTTTTTTCATTTCTCTGATTGATCCAAAACGTTTGTCCATTGTTCTTTTCTTCATTGGCTGAATAAAAAATATACAGTTTTTGCTTTTGATTGAAATATTTTATTATTTTTATTAACGTTTATGAAGTTTCAATGTTTTATATCAGCATGATATGAGATTCTATCAAGTTATGTGAGATCTTTTAAAATCATTATTAAACAGTTATTAATAAGATAAGGAAAGTTTTTTATTTCTATCAAGCTTTGAAATAGTCGTCTTCATCATATCAATATAAAACGACGACTGCACTTAGGCCGTCCCTTCCCTAAACTAAATTGGTCGACAACTTCAAGTCTCCTATATTGGTCGTCGAATGTATTGAGAAATTATATATCTATTAGAAAAGAATTTAGCATGAGACATCTAGCGGCCAACATATATCGTCCCCTAAAGTATGTGAACAATCATTATCTATAGAAAGAACGGGCTCAGCACTTTAATTTATTTGACAATAGTTTAAACCCAATTATTTTTATTGTGGATTATATTCAAATATGTCATATAGTTAAATCCCAAGAGTATACTTTTTTATTTATATTTATTTTTTCGAAATCATATATTCTTTTTAAAAAACATCAAAGGAGTTGGTCACTCAGCACCAAAGGGGTATATCTTCCTTACAGATCATTATTTTTACATCTAGTTTTTTCTAAAGGAAGTCCAGTATATCCCTGAATGGTGTTCTTGCCAGGATGTACCTTGAAAAGTGCAGGGGCGCAAACTGTTGAAAAAAAGGGGGGTCGATAGGGTGCTATTTTCGGAAATAATGATTCAAATAAAATGATATTTCAAACTATTTTTATTT